GACCCACTCGTCTCTGCTGCAGCACGACCTCAAGTATCATGAAGTCAGTCAGTGTTGCAACAGGGTGTCTGAACTTTTACTTTAGATTTCAGAGAGATTACAAAACGTCTGAAACATTTCAGTAAGTGCAAAGTAAAGGAACAGTATCTGTTAACGAAGGCAACACACTTCTTCTGTGGTTTGGTTCTGGCACAGACCTGGAAATGGCAGAACCAGATCGAGTCCTTATATACCAAACATGTCAGAGTTTACACGCAGAGGTGGTGAGTTACGCAAAGCTGTCGAGCGTTCAAACGTTCACTATCTGCTGTACGCACAGTCACAGCTGTTAGTCTCGCTGTTCATTCTTCTTCATACTGCAAGTCATCATCGTCTGCTTCGTGCTTCCTTGTTAAGTTTGAGGGGACGGTTCTGTTTAAACGTGACCATTAAAGCTCATCACAGCTAACATCCAGCATGACCTTTAACCTTTCACATCCACACTGCAGAACAGCCTCTTTGTGACTCACGTGTCCTTTGAAATAATTTCACATTATTGATTTAATAATGAAGCTAACTGTTTTAGCGTCCATCGATAGCTCTGTGCCAAAACGTGGCTGCGTCCTCCTGAGGCCGATTACGACGCGATGAAGGCCGTCCCAGTTCAAAGACTCCAAATGCGTCCTCCTTTACCCCAGATTTGAAGGATGGGTCGGGTGTGTCCTTCGTGGCCCACCATATCCCAGAATTCATAGCGTGGCCCAGCCAATTCCAGTTTCCAACAATGGCAGCTACTCAGTTTAAATATTACTCTTATTAATCTTTCTGGGTCACAAAATAAAGTTTTAAGATATTTTCAGGCGAGAATGTGGCTGTGCAAACTTCTGTTTATCAAGACATCACATACTTGCAAAATTGGTCCAATGTTTTCGGAGACGTCTGTTACCCACCAGCTCGATAGCTGACCGGGAGGTCAAGGGTCACTCGAGCCGGCGATAACAGCAAACTCCCGGCACATCGGTTTAACTCAGGTTAAATGTAATATATGAGTCACTTAGATGATTTAAAAATGTTATTGTTTGACTTTTTTCAGTGTTTCATTTGTTCCTGAGTAAATCGGTTTGGCTGAGATTAAAGTTACAGTTTTCACACAGCTGATTCAGCAGAAGTGTCACGTGATCGAGAGTTTACTCCAGTGTCCTGTTAGAGTTTAGATAGCAAGGAGCAGACGGCCGAGTTTATTAAACTCCACCGAGACAGCGGTGACGTAATTCTGAAGACCGTCCAGTTTCACGGCCCACGTAGACCGCGGAGGCCGAGTCCACAGGAGGATGCGGCCTAGTTGGGACACCGCTAATGTTAGCTTACTGTTAGCATTGTACTCCCGACTGCTAGCTAACAGTTTAACAGCTAGCCATACCTTCAGCTTAACACATTTCATTGATTATTAGCTAACAATATATTCATTGTATTAGTCGATACCTTTGGC